TACGAAGGGGCCGGGGCCCGGGTCCCGACCGGCGCGAGCGAAGGTTCGAGGAGCGGAGGGAAAAGGCTGCTCACCGCAGGTCCCGCTCAGCTCCCTTCACCTCGGGCCGTTCCGATTATCCCTCAGCTGCCACGTCTCTTCCGGGTGTGGCGCGTACTGATGACGCCACTGGGCCACGCCTCTACAGACGCTAGACGTGAAGGCGGGCTAAGAACTGGGGAAATCCTAGCGCCCCGCCCTCCCACTTCCGCCTTCTCCGCGGCAGGGCGGGTAATTCGAACGTTGGTATCAGCCACGGTCCTCTGGTTGGCGTGTGCCCCGGGCTGCGGCGGCGGTGGCGGCGGCGGGGGGGGTTTGGGGTCGGGCCAGCCCAGGCTGGGGGGCCTAGCCATGTCTGAGAGGAGAACGCGGTCCGGAGGGGCCGCTCAGCGCTCCGGTGAGCAGAGGGCGCGCGGGGAGACGGGGGCCGAGCCGTTTCGCAGACGCAGTTTCGCGAGGGAAGGCCCTCCCCCTCGCCAGCGTTGTAGGAGGCTTGTCTGCCTACGGACAGGGGGCATCCCCAAGGGCCGGTTTGGGAACCCCTCTCCCTCTCCAGAACCCGTTCTGTAGACTCTTGGACCTAGCTAGAGGCCTTCTCTGGTTCTTAACTTCGTTCTCTTTTCAGGGCCTAGGGTCTCATCTCCTACTAAGTCTCTACGAAAGTCCCAGCGGAAATCAGGCTCAGATCTCCCAAGCATCCTTCCTGAAATCTGCCCTAAGGTGAGCTTCGGGTTTCTCTGGTCTTGCCCTTGAGGCCCCTGGTCTACTGTAGAGCTCATGTTCACCCCTTTTCTCCAGACACCCCGTGCAGCTCCAGTCAGAAAGCCCATCGTCTTGAAGAAGATTGTGGCCCATGCTGTAGAGGTGAGGGTTAAGAGGGATGGATGGTGAGAGGGGGAGCCAAAACTGGGGACCAGCTGTGTGATCAATTGATGTTGTCCCCACAGATCCCAGCTGTTCACTCGCCACGCCGGAGCTCTCGGGTGAGTGTATTTTCATCTGCTTAGTTGAGTGGAACCTGTGGTGCTCTAGAAGTGGGGCAGGGCCTACTGGCTCCTTACATCTGTCCAGGGAGCTGATTTGGAATATTCTGGATACCTGCTTGCCATTGCAGGTCTTAATTCCAACCTGCCAACTTGATGTATTTAGGTGTTTATGCCTTGTGTATTTCTACCATTTCCTTAGAGCTGTCTTTAAAAGTTGTGTCTTAACAATTCTGTCTTCTTTCTAATCTATCTGTCCTTAGTTTTTGTAGGACACATTGCACGTTCTGTGTTTTTACAGTTTTAATTGAAGTTATTATCAAGGATGTCTTGTTAATGGAAAACCTGAGGGTACAATGAACAAGAAATGCCAATTGCATTTGCCAATCTCCTGAGATTTGGGAGGAGTTTATGGAGCTTAATGTCAAATGGGAGAAAAACAAATGACAAATGATTGCAACATAATGTGCTGAGTCCTCAGTAAGGAATCATTAGATGCTGTGATGGTACCTAAATCAGACTGTGGCTCTGGGATGTCTCACAGTGAGAGAAAGGTTTAAACCTAGTCTTTAAAGGGAAGTAGGAGTGTTCTAGTTGTAGGAGGCCATGTTTGCAGATATCTGGAGTCTAAAGAAAAATCATGAGGTTTTGGGAACAGAGCTTATTTGGTAGGTCTGCTGCAGACCTTGTCAGAGGAGGGAGTATACTAAACCAAAGTAATTGTATTGAGGCACAATAGCCAGGAGCTCGACTTTATCCTGGGGTCTGTGGGCAGCCTCTGGAGAGTTTTAAGCTAGGTAGTGACTGAGCAAAAGTTAAGTCTATTAGGAAGATCTCTGGAGGCTGTATGAAAAATTGAAAAGGGACTAGCAGGTGTCATAGTGGTTAAGGTGCTGGACTCCTAGAACCAGCAGATGGCGTAATGATTACATCGCTGGACTCTCACGTCGTCAGACCATGGCGTGAGTCCTGGTTACGTTGCTGGATTCCCACATAGTCTACCGCTGTTCAAGTCCTTGACTGGGCAGCTTAAAACTCATGCTGGGGAGGCAAAGCATTAATGGCACAAAGAGGTGTGGTATTATCTGTTGAAGATATTTCGTAGTTTTATCAACAGTACTAGGGAGAAATGTTTACCTGTTGAAATATCCACTTTGTAAGACAAATAATAATGTGATTGGATGTATGGAAGAAAGTGAAATGAAAATAAAAAAATAAAAATAAAGGGGCCAGCAGGTGGTGTGGTGGTTAAGGGTGCTGGACTCCCACATAGCCAACCATGGTTCAAGTCCCAGACCTGGTGGCTTGCTTTCTCGCTTCCCCAACCCCCACCCCCGCCCTCCATCCTATTCTGTCCCTGTCTGGTCAAATGAAAAACAAAAGTAAAGTTAAATAAAATTAAAAATAAAATAAAATAAAAATAAAAAAACCCTCATGCAGAGTGTGTGTGCATGCCCAAAATCTTGAGAGGGGAATGGAGGAGAAGGGATTGTAGTGTGGCCATACCCCCTGGGGGGTGATTTCTCACTTTCTGTCTCTCTGTCCCTGGTGAGCGCATGCACCCTAGAGCAAAAATCTCTCTCTAAAAAAGGCATTCATCCAGGCACATGTGTGTGTGTGTGCCCAAAATCCTGAGAGGAGAATGGAGAAGGGATTGAAGTGTGGCCATCCCTCCTGGGGGGATGATTTCTCGCATCCTGTCTCACTGTCTCTCCGGTGAGCGCATACACCCTATGGCAAAAAAAAAAAAAAAAGCTTTATCAGACTAGTATTGAAAATTAGGGACTTTGAAAAGACTAGGATTAATGTCATTAGGATGGAGGCCCCATGATTGTCTCCAGTTTTTTGTTTGTTTGGTTTTTTAAGGGTTTTTGCCATAGGGTACATATGTTCTTTAGAGACAAAGAGAACAGAGAGAGGGAAAGTGAGAACTCACCCCTGAGGAGGATGGCCATGCTGCAGTCCCTTTTCCTCTATTCTCCTCTCGGGATCTTGGGCACGCATGCACACGTGCCCAGTGTGAGTTTAAGCTACCGGTCTAGGACTTGAACCACAGTCAACTACATGAGAGTCCAGTGACATAGCCATTAAACCAACTACTGGTCCCCCTTTTCCTCCATCCTTCTCCTGGGATTTTGGGCACACATGCACACATGTCCAGTGTGAGTTTCAAGCTGCCCAATCTGGGGTTCAAACCGTGGTCGGCCATATGGGAGACCAGTGCCTTAACCACTATGCCACCTGCTGACCCCTTGAGGTGGGTTTTTAAGGTATGAGGATGAGACAGAAAGACTGATGGATATAGCTACTCTACTCTGCTCTTGTGTTGTGTTCCCTTGGGATTCTACAAGACATCTGCCAGGTGTGGACCTTGGACCTCCATCCAAATTACAAGCTGAGTAAACCTCTATTAAGTTACCCAGGCTTGGATTTTTTTCAGTTATTAGCAATAGAGTACTACAACAGGCCCAAAACTAGGTAATTGCAGGGTGATACGCCTGTCCTTTCTCTCCACACAACAGTCTCATTGCATGGGCCTATGCTCAAAAGGAGCCTCCTTCTAGAGTCCTTCTCTGATCACCTTTACCTTATTGCTGTCATGTTTCTCTATATAGTTCTCCTTAGGCTTTATCAGTATCTGGTGGTATGTTTGCTTTGCATGCTTAAAGTCTTTCTCTTTCCTTTTAAGACTACACATACCATGGACCAGGGTGTGCCGTAATGATTATGTCGCTGGACTCCCTTGTAGTTGACCTCGGTTCAAGTCCTGGATCGGATGACTTAAAACTCACACTGAGCATGTGTGCCCAAGATCCCAAAAGGAGAATGGAGGAGAAGGGATTGCAGTGTAGTCATCCCCCCGTGGGGTGTTCTCTTGCTGTCTGTCTCTCCCTGTCTGTTTCATGTGTGCACACACCTATAGCAAAAGCTCTTAAAAAAAACCAAAACTATATGGACCAGTAGGTGGCGTAATAGTTACGTCACTGGACTTCCACGTAGTCAGAGTTCGAGTCCCTGCCCTGGCAGTTTGAAACTCACACTGGTTGTGTGTGGGGGTGTGCCCGAAATCTTGAGAGGAGAATGGAAGAGAAGGGATTGCGGCATGGCCATAACCCCTAGGGGGTGATTTCTCAATTTCTGTCCCTCTGTCTCTGGCTAGGGCTTGCATCCTGGACAAAAATCTTTTTTTTTTTTAAGAATTATTTTATTTAACTTTATTTATTTATTTATTTAAATTTGACCAGAGTGGGACAGAACAGGAAAGAAAGAGAAAGAGAGAAAGCAAGCTGCCACGTTCAGGACTTGAAATGCAGTCGGCCATGTGGGAGTCCAGCACCCTTAACTACTATGCCACCTGCCGGTCCCACAAAATCTCTCTTCAAGAAAAAAAAGAATATCTGAACCTTTAAAAATAGAAAGAATATGTGAGTACCTTGAGGGTAGGAACTTATGCCTCCCCATTGGTAATCATTTATTGTTGTTGGTTGATTGATAGATTCATAGACATTGAGCAGATAGAGCTGCCAGGACCTGGTGAGTGATTGACTATAGGGAATGGGGAAGTAATAGTCAAGGCTGACACCCTACTCTGTTGAGCATTCATTTTACTAAGACCCATTGGACAGATTCCCCAGAATTTGTAGCCAAGAAATAACTCTTTTGATAATCAGTATACTTTCTTTTTTTTTCCCTGAGAGATTTTTGCTAATAGGGTGTGTCCCGACCCGGGGGGACAGCCGAACGGGTTTCCTGAGTGAAGGAGTGAGAGCCGGGGCAAGCAGCGTAGTGTTACAGCACGGAGACGACAGTGTCGTCTGTTTATTGTGGGCAGCACGGTACAGCACAGAGACGACGCAGTGTCACAGCTCTTAAGGGTCGCGTCGTCTACTGTGAGCAGCACGGAGATGATGCGGTATCACAGCTCTTCAGGGTCGTCCGGAGACAATGTAGTGTTACAACTCTTCAGGGTCTCCCAGTTCGTCTGGAGACGATGCAGTGTCCG